AAAAAAAAAAAAAAGAAAGAAAATATGGTGTATATATACACAATGGAATTCTATGCCTCCATGGTTTCCCTTATTTGCAGACTTTGTTTCTAAGGAATGGATTAAAAGCTCCTAGAGCCTGTGGTTTGATTCTCTACATTTAGGTTGGTCCACAGTTTAAAGGTTTTGCTTAATTTTATTTTTACTGTCCCTTGTCATTTTGTGTTGGGAAATCGGTATCTGTAAATATTTATTCTGTGGGCAAAATGCTACAGAATACCATAGTCCAAGTACAAAATAATTTATTTCCTCTCCAAACATTTCTTTATTTCTTGTTGTATTTTCTCTTCTCTTGCCTCCTTTGTTTCTTTTTTTCTTCTCAATCATGTTTTGGATTTATTAAAGAGACAAAAATGTTTAACTCCAAAAAAGATACAAAAGATTAATTATGACTGGTCTTTTCTAATATACAGAAAAATATATCGGTTCTGTGGAATTTTTGTTTGTTTCGTGGTTGATTGGTTTTGGTTTTTTGAAAAATAGTTTCATGATGAAGTCTAGCCTCCAATCCTCCTGCCTCAGCTTGCTATATGTCAGGATTACAGACATAAACCCCTGAGCCTACCTAATAGTTCTGTTTTATAGTGAACAATATCAGACCTAATGTATGTTTTGACAAAATTCTTACCTGTAAGAAAAAATGGTCTAGGGTTATAGTTCAGTGGTTTGGTGCTAGCCTAACATATGGAAGGCTCTGAATTTGATCTCCAATACTGCAAAAGAACTGAAATAAAAAACAAATAAAATCAAGATTAAAGAATCAGTCTTTCAGGCTAGTAATGAGGCTCAGTGGTAGAGTGCTTGCCTTGCATGCATGAGACCCTGGATTTGATTCCTCGGCACCACATAAGCAGAAAAAGCTGGAAGTGATACTGTGGCTCAAGTGATAGAGTTTTTGCCTTGAGCTGAAGAGCTGAGGGATGGCACCCAGGCCCAGAGTTCAGGCCCCATGACCAAAAGAAAAAAAAATCAGTTTTTCTAGACATATAGAATGGGGAAATTATGTTTGCACATTCTGGCTTCATAAGACAAATATTTGAGAGTGTATGGACCTTTCACCTCCCATGTGACACATTCCACATCAACAGATAACCAAGACCAATACAAGACAAATATAGCATCATTCTCCCTTCACTCTCTAACCTAAACTGCATTCCAAGCAATTCTTACCTTCATAAAATTCATTGACTTAGGGGTAAATAGGAAGAAATTAATCTCCCAATTTATTGTAAGTGGCAAATTCCTTAGTACTAACTCCCATAATACAAGTAGAAAATGTATCAATAAATTCTATTATTTCTGATCTTCTCAAACCTTTGAGATAGCTCTTTGACTACTCACACAATGTCTGCTGCTTACCTAAGAGGAGTTAGGCAGTTAATCCTAATCTAAAGTCTGTCAGTCCAAATCTCACCCCACTCAGCATGAATTCCTATCTGAAGTTGAAGAGATGGGTATGGGGAAGGGGGCTGGGTGTTAGGTGAATGCACCCACAATGAACTGGTTCAGTTTCTGGGGCTGAGATGGCTTTTTCATCATTATTGTTGGGAAGGTAAGCAAATGTCACGAAGTGGCTAATACTTTGTGGGAGCTCACTAGGCACAGGCACTAAATTCTCTCTTAAATGGATGACAGATTTTTTTTTTAACTAATTTCCATCCTACACATGAGAAAATGGAGTTATTGAGTGGCTAAATGTCAAGACACATGTTCAGAAAGCTGGGATTCACCTCCAGCCAGCTAACTTCAAAGCTTTGGTGCTTAATTGCTGATTTATCACTGGTGACAACTTACAGAAAAGCTTTCAAAGTGTTCAGGATGTTGTTTTAGGGAAAGTTTTGAGAAAGCAGTTTTCTTGTAAAAGAAGCAAAGCGCAAAAGGGTGGATGTTAGATTCAGACATTGGGTCCATTTCATTGTAAATGAGGCCATGCAGGTTTACCACTCCAAACACTCATGTTTACCACTGCCTGATGCGGATCAGCTCTCCATACATGTCAGGGGCTATGGCAACCGAATTGAAGGTAACAGAACTTGGAAACAAGCTTACAAGAGTGAGTCTTATCAGAAAATGAAAGTGGCAGCCCTGGGTATTAGAGGAGCTAAAGGAAATCATCTAAGACCCCTTCGTGCACCATTGTTTTTAGTGGTAGCACCATGGCTGCTTCACTGTCAGACATTGCATACACATTTCATGCAGGAAGAGAAACAAATCAGCAAAGTGAAGTTTTGCCTATTTGGTGGGTGGCATTTCAACCTACCTCTCATGAAATGCAAAGCATCCTGAACAAATTGGGCGTCTTTTAATCAGGAAAGGAGGAGGAATGGAGTTTATACCGGTATTGTGTAGAAATGCAAGCCTAAGGAGAAGAATGGAATGAGGTGGAGAAAAGATGTGAAAAGATGACTCGACCTGAACTTATTTTACCTTGTCAGATTCTCAGGTCTCTTAGGTGGCGGGAGGAAGCCTACTGTAGGTAGGACAAGGGTGGCCTCTCCTGCATTCCCAAAGAATGTACAAAGGTTCCAACACTTCCCACTGGGCCCAGGCTCGAGACAAATCGCCCCGCCCACAACCACGCCCCGCCCCATGGCCACGCCCCACGCGGACCACGCCCACCCATGCTGGGAGCCAGAGGGCTGACGGGATCCAGGACCCGGGGGCGGGACTCACCCCTTGCCCTCAGGGGTCCCTCGGGCTCGACCAATCAACGAGCGCCCTGTTGGCCATCCGCAGCCTCGCGCGCCCCTCCCTCTCCCGCCGGCCTCTGCGTCCTAGAATCCAAGATGGCGGGATCCAGGCGAAAGCGTCCCCAGGCCAGATCGCGACCGTTTTTCTATGCCCTGCTGCTGTCTCTCAGTCGTCTCGTCGGGGGCGATGGCCTGGGAGGCGACGCCATGGCCGCCGGCGCCGCGGGCACGCCGGCCGAGCTGCCACACCGTCGTTTCGAGTACAAATACAGCTTCAAGGGGCCGCACCTGGTGCAGAGTGACGGGACCGTCCCCTTCTGGGCCCACGCGGGGAGTAAGCCGGGCCCGGGGGCCGGGGGGACCCGGGCGGGAGTGCCGGGGCCGGGGGTCCCGGGCGGGAGTGCCGGGGCCGGGGGTACCCGGGCGGGAGTGCCGGGGCCGGGGGCCGGGGGTCCCTGGAGAGGGTTCCGGGGCTGGGGGCCGGGGGGACCGGGCGAGGGTTCCGGGGCTGGGGGTCCCTGGAGAGGGTTCCGGGGCTGGAGGCCCGGGCGAGGGTTCCGGGGCTGGGGGTCGGGGGTCCCGGGCGAGGGTGAGGGTTCCGGGGCTGGGGGCTGAGGGACCCGGGCGGGAGTGCCGGGGGGATCGGGGGCCTCGGAGTGCGAGTTCCGGGGACGGGGGGGGGCGGCCTCCGGAGGGGCCGGGGTTCCCCTGAGCCGCGGTGGGCACCCTCGGGGCACGGGTCCCTCTCCGGCCCGCCAGTTGTCCAGAGAGTCTTCCCCGTGCTCCGTCCACTCCCGCTGGCCTTCCTCGGTCTCTTGGTTCTGGCGGTGTAGTGTTCTGTCCGTACACCCCCACCCCAGCCGGCTCCCAGGTGTCGCGTTTCACCCGGACGCCACGTCTCCGAGGGACACGTGCCCCCCCCTCACCCGCCTTCCTCACCTGAAGCCGCCCTGGCAGCCCCCTCTCCCCTGCCCGTCTTTTCCCTGGTGTCAGGCTGTGTCCCACCCTCCTAGAAAGCTCTAGACAGCTCGGACTCGTCGTCCTTCACCTTAAAGCTGCTTCTGGGAGACTGGGAATAATCTCGGGTCTCCACGCCAGGCACTCTGCAGGCAGTCTCGCTTTTGTTTGGTAGCAGGATACCCTCTTTGGCATGGTTTCTGAACTTGAGACAGTGGCATAGCTTCTCATTTCAAGGGGGAAAAAAAAGGAACAGGAGAAATGGAAATAATTACTGCCTCAAGTTTTATTTTCTCTGTATTTGGTACTCATAAATCAAAGTCCCGCTAGAGCATTCATGTTTGGAAAAGAAACAAACCTACCTGCAGTTTTATGTGCTGATGTGCCAGCTGCTGACTGAGCCATCTGCCTTAGCGCTTGGCGTGTAATAATCTCTGTTCAGGGACCATCCGATGCAACCTGTGCAACAAGTAGCAAATGCTTTTCTGTGTGATTAAGCAACCATGTATATGAGGCCTTGTATACATTATTTTAGATTACCAAAAGCTTGGAACCATAGGAAGCATACTTTAAAGAAAAAGGCCATTTCCCTCGAATTAATGTGTAATTATAAGGTTAAATTTCAATTTTATTTAATGACCAAGTCATTAAGTTGTTGAAGCACAGTGTAATTATGTTGTTATTTGGCAGTCACTATAAGCCTGCTGGGTGTATTTTTCAATCAAGATAACATTGTTCTTAATGTACATAGAGATGATACACATGATACCAAACACAAGTGCTTGAATTTTTTGTGGTTTTTATTTTGCTTTTTGGAAGGATGCTGACTTGTATTAGTGGTAGATTTATTCACACTTTTTGTTTTGTACCACTCCATTGCCTACTTGCTTCTATCTCTCACATGTACACATCAGGAAATTAAAGACAGCAATCTCAAATTTACGACCCATAACCAATTAGTGTGTTGCCAAAATGCCAGTATAATTACCTGTGGGATTTAAGTTGTATGCTTAGACTGCATTTCAAATAGAGATATGTATTTTTAGCCATGCCTTATGTATGTACTGCAGACTCTGGGAATTACTGATACCTATCTATTTATATCTTTAGAAATCTATGTTAGAAATAGATACAGATATGTATCTTGCTTTCTTGTTACTGTAATTTTTAGTCTCTTCGCTTAATGCCATTGTTCATATCCACTCTTCATTTATTCTCTGATCCATTCAAAACAAAAAATAGAGAAATTAAATCTGGTTTAATCACAGCCTTTTATGACTTCAAGTTCAAGATAAACTGGTGTTGTTTCTTTCTTAGCTTTGTCCTTTTGCACTGTCATTCTGCATCTGTAGGTCCAAAAGGGCATTAAAAAGAAAAGATAGCATTTTCTAACTATAGCTCTGAAAGCTCTTTCACCTTCATACTCTGAGTTGATCCTTAGCAGGCAGAGCAGGTATTGTCTGTAATTTATACAGAACAGTTGCTGTTTGGAAATGTTCTTAGAAAAGGTTATGTAACTGGCAAGTGTCAGGACAGCTGAACTCAAACCTAGGCCTTCTGATTGTCAGTATTTTTTCCATGTTGTCCTTTCTCAGGCTTTTTAGTGCTTGGAAGTGTTAGTAGCAGATGGTGAATGATCACACACTAGAAATGTCTCAGCTTTTCTTCTTATGAATGTTTCTTACCTGTAAAGTGATTTGTAATTCTTTTATTTCCCAGCATAAATGTCAGAATGGTTACTATTTGGGAGGAAATGTTAGCATTGTTCAAAAACTTTAGGCTCAAGCCTAATAATAGGAATGAAACATTTTTATAAGCATACCTAGTTTTGTCATACATCAGTTTCTTATACTTCACGTTATGAGTTTTTATTCACAAGTTGAAGTTTGTTGATATTTTCCAACAGCTGATGATCTAATCTTTTCAGAAGTAAATTACTTAAAGCACATGTAGAGTTTAGACATAATGATCTTGTACATTTAATAGACTCAGGCATACTATATAACTTTAATAAACGCCGAAAAGCCACAAAAATCTGTGACTTGCTTTATTCTGGTGTTTTCAAGCTGAACTGATATCCCCAAGGCCTGTCTGTATACACATTTGCATAAGCACTTACATATCCATGAAGTTGGTAGGGAGGTGGAATAACTTGATTAAAACTAACAATTGGTAACTGATAGAATTAGGACTTGAACCTAGCTGAAAGTACAAATCACCGGTGGGAACCACAATTTTCTCTGAGAATTCTTTTAGACAGTTTACCTTGAATTGAAATGGAAGGACTGGGAGCATAGCTCAAGTGATAGGGTGCTTGGAGGCCCTGAGTATAAACCCTAATACCTCAAAAAAATTCATTTGCCTCTCTCCCTAGAAAAAAAATATTCTGCGTATATGCTGAATATTTTGCATGTAACTTTTGGGATATTTATGGGGCTAATCAATCCTAGCCCTTCATTTTACACATGAACATAGGATCGATCTGGGAGAATAGAAAGATTATTGTTCAAAATCACAGTTGAACTCAGACTAGGAACAAGTGTCTTGATTCCTAGTGGTAAGTGTTCACAGTGTTTGAGTTTTTTAAGGTTTCTAAATTGACACAATACATTGCAGGCTTTTTATACGATTCATATATTTTTTAGATTTTTATAAAAGTCTGAAGATTAAATAGACAAATTTACCTTGTAAGTCATTTCCTCCATTCGGTGTGGTCTTTATATTTTTTATTCTTGTGGAGATACTCTTTGTATAAAAATAAGGAGGCTGAGGACATTGTTCAAGTGGTGTATAGTGCTCGCCTACTTTATGCACTTGCAAGGCCCTGGGTTCAATCTCCAGCACTTACAAGAAAAAAAAAGATAAATAAGAGATGTTAGCTCTCAAATTTCAAAGTTGTAACTTTCAACCTGAAATTATTTGATAACAAAATTGTTCTATAGGTTACAATTTGATCTTTATGGTTATATGTAGTGGTTCAGTACTGATGTTTGAATTTTACCTAATTATAACGCAAAATTTTTCTTCTCTGCTTTCTGCTGTAGATGCTATTCCAAGTTCAGATCAAATTCGAATAGCACCATCATTAAAAAGCCAAAGAGGATCAGTGTGGACAAAGACAAAAGCAGCCTTCGAGAACTGGGAAGTCGAGGTGACATTTCGAGTAACTGGAAGAGGTCGGATTGGAGCTGATGGCCTAGTATGTGCATTTCTGTTTTTGAGAAGATACAGATACATGCATTTGCCCTAGCATAATGTACAGCAGTATGATTATAGTACATACCACTAGCTTCTAACTTCCTTGTTTGTATTTTCAGGCAATTTGGTATACAGAAAATCAAGGTTTGGAGGGCCCCGTCTTTGGATCAGCTGATATGTGGAATGGTGTTGGAATATTTTTTGATTCTTTTGACAATGATGGAAAGGTATATTTGTTGTCAGAATTGCTCCCCACTTTTTTTCCTAGCCAGGCTAGGCTGTGAGAAGCATATCTTACCTGTCACTGATGTGTTTGGCAGTAGAGAACTCCTCAGGTGACAATCTCCATGTAGCAGAGAATTCAGCAACTAAGAACTATGGAGACAAATTTTTCATACACCAACTTAAAGTTATAATGGAGACCCAAGTCAGAACTTTGCAATGACTCTCCCCATCCAGCTTGTACTTAGTAATTATGATAAGTAAACATGAGTCAGTCTTTAGATGTGGGCAGCGAAAGCAGCAGTGTATAGAGACCATAGTAGTTTGCTTTCGTAACAGTATTCCTATGTATTACTATCTCTGGCTGACTCATGTATTCATACATTTGCTATGTTTATGTTAACCATTTATTTGATCAGGTCAATTTTTTGTTTTTCTTTTTTGTGCCAGTACTGGGACTTGAACTCAGGGCCTGGATTCTGTCCCTTAGCTTTTTCAAGGCTGATATTCTACCACTGAAACCACAGCCCACTCTTAGATTTTTGCTGGTCAGTTGGAGATAAGTGTCTTAATGTCCTGCACTGGCTGGCTTTGAATCTCAAAACTCAGCCAGCTCAGTAGTTAGGATTACAGATATGAGCCATCAGCAGCACCCAGCTTAGGTCAGTTTTTATGATTTCTCCTAAAATATTTAAGAACAAATGAGCTTATATATTGGAAGCATTAACTGGTGGTTTCGCAGCTGCTTGTTCTCCATTGGTGTTTTTAAACATCACTATTAGCAAGTTAAAGATCTTTTGCAACTCCATAAATGCCAAGACCATCATATTTTTAAATATTGAATCCTACAGTCTCATCTATGTAAGAGACATATCAAGAAGGATCTGGAAATTTTTTTTTAAGTTCAGGACTTTAAATGTTTTCTTTTTTTGTTTTGTTTTGTTTTTTTAGAAAAATAATCCTGCTATAGTAATCGTAGGCAATAATGGACAGATCCATTATGACCATCAAAAGTAAGTGTGTGATTTTTTTTTACATCATTTCCATTTCTGCTTCTCATTGGAAACCTCATGAAATATATTCAGATTTGAACACCAAACTAAATCTGAACCATATGAACTGAGATTTTTTGTTATCATTTTGTAATTCAGTGAGAAGGTCACAGTTTGTTTCTATCTTAAAGTTCTTTCTATGGAAAAAAAATCTCAGATTTCAAACCAAGTATGTTTTCATTTAATTTTAAAGCTTATCAGATGTTGCTGGCTCTTAGTGATGCTACTAGCCACTTTTAATTGTTATTTAAAGAGGTCTTTAAAAATGAAGTTTAGCCTTGACCAAACTAATGAGTACACAATGTATGTCACTTATGTAATCTGAATACTGCTTTATGTAAAAACTGTAAATGGATGGCAAAGCTTCTGAGTATTTAGTGTATTTATAATGTATATAAATTAGGTCTGTACATTTTTTAAAATTTTCATATAGTTATGGAATAATTACTTTTTAGCCAGTCAGTAAGCTGTAAGGAAACTAACTTGTCTGCTCCAGTTTACTGTTTCCCATCTTGGTGGTTTTCAGCCAGTTCAGGTAGTTCATCACCCATCCCTGTGCAGCTGTTAGAAGTGCCTGGGCCTTCTGTCCTCACTCTGTTCAGTGGATTTAGAAGGAAGCCTGTAGATCTGCAGCTAAAAGCCTCATGAGAGATTTGCTTCTGCCACAGGATAAGAGGACCTCTGTGCTTGTCTCCCTTAGCACAGGAAGTCATTCCCCTTCTTATCAAGCCATGGTGACATTAGCATCTGTGTACCCAGTGTTCTCACAGGAAACACTTGCCTGCCATCTTTGTGTCTTAAGAATAAACAGCTTGAAGTATCCTAAGACTCAGTCATACCTTGCTATTATTTAATCTTTTAGAATTTTAGATGTTGAAACACTTCCTAAGTCTGTTTCTTTTTGTTTTCCTTTGTTCTGTGCTGTAGTGATGGCGCCAGTCAAGCTTTAGCAAGTTGCCAGAGGGACTTCCGTAACAAACCCTATCCTGTCCGGGCCAAGATTATCTATTACCAGAAAGCATTGACAGTAAGTGATAATAAACAAATCACAGCTTTCTGGTAGGACTTTTCCTTTTGAGTTCTTGAAGTTAAAAGCACGTGGCTTCAGAACTGGCAAACCTGAGCATCTCATAAAACTTTGCCAGCAGGTTTCCTTTGTTCATTTCCTTAGGTATTTAACCATCCTGCTGTTTGGCATATGTGACATACATATCCAAGACTTGAGGATGTGCAGATGAGTCAGACAAAGGTCATTGCCTTCAAAGAACACACTGAGTAGTGGACAAAACATACATACCATTTCTGTTCTGTGTGACAAAGACACAAGTACCATCAAGGAATCCTGTGGTTAGAATCTTGTAATTCTGTGGGATTACAAGGAAGGTCTGAAAGCAAGAGCAGGTGTGTGTGTGTGTGTGTGTGTGTGTGTGTGTGTGTGTGTGTGTGTGTGTGTGTGTGTGTGTGTTCTAGCCACAGAAAGCAGTCACAGGGCCTGAAAGCAAGAGCAGGTGTGTGTGTGTGTTTTCTAGCCACAAAAAGCAGTCACAGGGCCTGAAAGCAAGAGCAGGTGTGTGTGTGTGTGTGTGTGTGTGTGTTTTCTAGCCACAGAAAGCAGTCACAGGGCCTTGAGAGGGGTTGAAATATTTGAGGGAAGAAAATATGGCTCCAAGACAAGAGATCTAGAGGAGATGACACTGAAAGGTTGAGAGTAACAGACCTTGAGTGGAGTGTACTAAAGTTTATCCTAAAAGGAACTTTTAAGACAGTTCAGAGTTTTAAGCAAGAAGTGAAATGATACAATTAACACTTTTGAATAATAACATAGGGCCCAACATTGTTAAAATGGTATGTGTGAAAGATGATTTAGACTCCTGACCCTTAAAGTATCACACTTGTGCTCTGTACTCTATGCACAGTTAACTCCCAGTGACTACAACACTGGAAATTGAATGTGGGAGAGTTTAAGTACTTGAACAGTGCCAAACCAAGTAACTAACCAACTAATTGTGAGTTGAACCCAGCTGCATTATCTTATACAATGATGCCACATGAGAAATATTAAGTTACCCTTTATAATAATGAAGGGAAGATTGAATATTATTGCTAATAAAGTTGATCAATTCACTCCATAATGTCACACAGCTGTGGCTATAATTTTTCTTTTTAGGTAATGATTAATAATGGCTTTACACCAGACAAAAATGATTATGAGTTTTGCGCCAAAGTGGAAAATATGGTTATCCCCCCACAAGGGCATTTTGGAATATCTGCTGCCACAGGAGGTCTTGCAGGCAAGTTTGCTGTCTTATATTGAAAATGTATAGATTGCTTCTTGTTGTACAGTTTAAGGACATATATACTTGTTTATGTAGAACTGTGTAGATTATTTGGCCCCTTAGTGTGCTATGCCATTCTTTTACTCTATTGGGACTGTTATTTTTTTGTTTTTTTTTAACCTGTGTTGTTCTATAGGTGTACGATTGCCTCAAGCACATACAAATACACAGATTATAGAATCAGTAAAAGAACCATGTTTAATATAGAGGCTTTAAGAGATTAATTGTCACTTGAGGACTGTGGGTTGACACATCACATATAAATGAATTTGGCAACCTTAGGAGATGGTTTTTTGGGGGCCAGACTTTAAACAAAGATATGTGATAATTGAAGTTATTCCATACTAATACAATTTTGTGTTTATATGGTGCAATGTCGTTTTTTTGTGTTTTTTTGGAGGGGTCCAGTCGAGGTGCCTGAACTCTGGGCCTGGGCGCTGCCCCTCAGCTCTTCAGCTCAAGGCTAGCGCTCTACCACTTGAGCCACAGCACCACTTCTGGCTTTTTTCTTTTTGCTTATGTGGTGCTGAGGAATCG